TTGTTGGGTAAGCTGGAAATTACTCTGTCCTTCAGCGTAAAGCCTTGTTGAAGAGTAAGAAGCAGGTAACTGGCTTTACAAGCTGGACCCAAATCTGTATGTGACTGGCAGAAAGGTAAGAGCCCTTTGGAACTGAGTGTTTTTCCACTTACACAGCCCTTTTAGTGCAGAAATACAGCACTTCCACAAACCTGCCTTTTTAGTCCAAATGGAATCCAATCACACAAAATACACATTTGAGAGAAAGTTCTCAAGTTATAAGATTGAAACGAAAGGGAATTACAGCTGTTAAATGGCCTTGATGTAGGCTCTGAAAGTTGTGCACAGCTGCAAATTCACGAGTCACTGCTTGATTGGGTAATGGCCTTAAGTCAAGGTCGGTCCTGCCCAAAGGTGGCAAAAAGTCAGTCTTTAGCATCTATTTGAGTTTCTCCAAGGGACACGGCTCACTCTGCAGGATGCTGCAAGTAGTGGGACATTTGGGATGAAGATGGGGCATCCCATTAACCCTGTCAGGATCCCAGCTTGGCTCCTGAAGCTGCACATCCAGGAGGAATGGAGCCCAAAGGGAATATTAAGGGAGGTTGCAAGTATCATATTATTGCAGATCTCCTCCCAGCATTCAAAAGATGCTCAGGAATGAGAGCTGAGTACCCAGCAGCAGTGCAGAAACAAGGGCTGGCAGGAAGAGAGGCATGAAAGTAATCAGGAATGCAAAGGGGATGCTATTTGTTTGAAGATGATGTCATGAAACCTTCTCCTCAGAGCAGCATGCGAGCCTTTCCAATCCACCCCACCCCACATGCACTTTGCTAGCTGCCACAGCCCAGTTTTCAAATAGCTCAAAGCATAATCACAACCAACCTTCCTTCCCACTTCTCTCCTCAGTGCCTGCGTCATGCCAGCTGCTGGCTGGATACTTATCCCTTCCCACCCTATCCAGTACCATGTCAGCAATTAGCTTCCCACAAACAAAGATGAAAGAAATATCCTTTTTAGCCTTGCATCTAGAGAACAAATCAACATACTGTTGTGCTGTAATTGAAGTTCTCCCAACCTGTCACCATCACTGTGCTATAGATGGGACTCAGCGTTCACAAAGCTGATTTGTTTGCTGGAGCTGTTAAAACATCCTGATTATTCTAACCCCTTGCTGTAGCACTCAAATTCAAGTGTTTTACTCGGAGTTTATCCAGGCTTAAGAGCCCAGAGGAGCACACATCAGTGCTTCATCGAATCAATGCAAAGACTTTTGGAATGCAGGCAGTGATACAAGAGAAAGTTTAGTGGTCTTGGGGAGGCTGATGGTGCAGGCACTGAGCAGCTTTTCTCCCTTCCTTAGCACCTTAGTCTCTCACTGCTCCCAGCCCCCCTTACAAGAAGCACAGCACAAGTTCTTCATCCCATTTGGTTTAAAGCCCGTGTGTGCCCAGAACAGGCAAGGAACAGCCTGCAGCTTCACAAGGTAATGACACACTGTAGAGCAGATATTTGATCTCCCACTTCCTTGCTTTAAACAGTATTTCCTTCTCCTCTGTCCCCAGCACCAGCCAAAGACACCCGGTCAGTCTGAACAGTCACTCATCTCTGACCCAAAGGCATGTCCCTACCAAGCATCTCCTTTCATGGACAGCTCAACGACAGGCAGCAGGTTTTTGAGTGCTTCTCTTGACGAAAGCCCAGCAAAGATATTTCAAAGTACCTGGTGAGAGCAAACACATTGCAGGAGAACTGTGGAACTCTGGCAAGAAGCCTTGAACCCTAAACAATGAGGATCCCTTAGCCCAAGGCAGGTATCACAGTGTGAATCTTCAATCTGTTCAAGTGAACTGAGCACGATGCCAAAGGAAATTGGGGAAATGAGGAAAGCTTCAGCCATTCTTTCCAGGGGGACATAATAGCATTTTTCCCAGCCTAGCCCAGTGCATAACTGAGGTAGGAAAGACTCTTGACTATTTGAATCAATCTTGCTGGATTTGGTGTGTGGTTCCTTTGCTTTTCACATGCAATTAACAATGTACAAATTCCAGTAAATGATTTCAAATAAATCCTTACAGGATTAACAGACTGCAGCTCTAGGAATTCACTTGGGGCCTTTGCTACCTCACTGTGTACCACAAGGCTTCGTAATGATACCATATCAGTTTTCCTGCTGCAGAGCATAGCCCCCAAAGTAGTATTGTAGTCTATGGATAGTCACACAAAGGCAAATTCTACTACAAAGTTATCAAAACAGAGGAAGGGAAATGAAAGCTCCTCTGTTTCTCAGCCATCAGAAGGCAGCAGTAGATGCCAGTGAACACACACCAATGATGTAGAAGTATTAACCACTTAATGCCCAAAGTCCTGTACTCAAATATAGTGTGTTTGGCTTTTCTCCCTACGAAAAACCTCCTTACACATTCCAAATCCAACCCTGATAGGTGACAACAGAGATTTAGCCCAGAAACCTTCCTCTTTGTGGGACAAAAGCCTCTTTCCATTGCCCTGCCCAAACTCCCAGCTGTAACATGCTGCGTGAATGGTCTCTGGCATCACAAGCGTCCTAAAGCAGCAAGAAAGTGGCCAAAAACTCCTAGGTGAGGCTAGAAAACAGGCTCATGCCACACCTTCAGGCAAGCTGTTACACCTAACATTATCTGCTTTCCATCCAAACCTAGGTGCTTTAGCGTGTATTTAAAGTTTGCCAAGTGCTGTTGAAATTGATTGCCAAACCTCCCCTTCTTATTTTCTGCCCGAGTCACACAGAGCATCTATACAAAACCTCCTGGTACCAGGGTGTGCTCTGTGGGTTGCAGCAAAGTCAAAGTGGATCGGATGCATTACATGTTTCAGACACTCTTCCAAGTGGTGCCATTTGTTGGCAAATAGATAAAGCCTGAGCCCAGAACAGCTGAGGTACAGCTGGCTTCTGCACAGTTACTAATATATTTCCAAACATAAAGCCAGGAACTGCAGGAATTGTTAACACAGGGATTAAAGCAGGGATTAAAGGTGGTACCTGGCAGAGCTGCTTAGCTCAACACAGCACACACGATTCCCCCCCAACTGTGCCTTGGACATAACACGAAACTAGGAAAACAATCCCAAGGACAAAATTGGGATTTTCAGGGCCCTTTCAGCTCTTCCAAAGTGTGAATGTGACACACTAATCCTTTTTTGTTCCATTAGATACATTCACCTTTCAAAAGACCTGCTGTAGCAACGGGTGTTGCGCTGAAATGCTATCGGTGTCCAAGCAGGTAGCCATGGGCTCTGCCTCAGCTCACCTGCAGAAAGAGGGGATTTTCCATCAGATTTAACCTTTGCAGCTCAGATTAATCCCCATGGCTGATTCTTTGCCTGTTGTTTGACTGATTTGTTTGTATTGTTTGGCTGCCATGGAAAAAATGGTGTTGGTCATCGAGAGGCTGTTCACACCTCTGCCAAAATCCCAGTCACAGAATCACCTCCTCAAGCAGAGTTCCCCACTTGAAGACACCCAAGGCAAGAATTTAGAGCAATCTATAGGAAAAGCAGGGACAGGATGGGATGGGGTAAACAAGTGAATCATGGTAACCTCCTGGCCTCAGCACCACTGCGTCTCAGCTACCAGGCTCCTGGCACAGCTATGGGGATGCCCATCAGCCACAATCCTCTCCCCTCAAAACCCCTTTTACCAAGTGTGTTTGCAGCGCTGGCAGAGGCAGGAGCCCCTGCTGGTCCCCAGCACCATGGGGTGGAGGGAGGAACATTGGAATGTTGAAGCAGAGCAGTGCCAGAGCTGCAGGAGCTTCCTTGACAGTCTCTTTTTGGTGATTTGAGAGAGATTTGGTGGGTATGTGTAAGGAATTGCACTGCAGCCATAGAAGAGCATCCCCCAGAGTACAGTGCTGAGCATCCCTGGCCTGACACCTGCATATCATCCCAATATATGGTCAAACAGGGGTGCAAGTGCAGAGGCCACGGCTGTTCCTATCAGCCCAAACGCAATCGTGACTCCTGGCCTTTCATCCTGTGGCTAGATGCTGGGAGATGCTCTGAGAAACTGTCGTAATTCAGGCTCCTCTCAGCAAGTACCATTTAATGCCGTCTGCTGAGGGTTTCCTTGCACTGCAGGCACTAGAATGAAACCAAACCTCCTCCCTCTTTTTCTCCACCCAGGAGAAATCCCATCCTTTGCTGGGAGCTGGCTTGTGACCAGCTCATCTCCCAAGAACTGTGAGTACTCTTGACCAGAGTTGCGGTGGCTGAGCCGGTGCCAGATGTGCTCATGTGCTGCCAGATACGCTTTTGCTCAGAGTGAGATGCTTCAAAACATCAGAAGAGCTCTGAAGAGGCTGTAGGAGCCCACAGAAGAGTTAACCTGATCCCTGCAGCAACCACAACACTTCGAGTTGACATTCCTCCAAAACACAAGCAGACTCCCAAAATATTTCAGGAAAAATGTGTGTTTTTCCTACTTTCTGATCTATTTTCCATCAGAGAGGAGTTTGATGGAAAATTGCTACCTACCCAGCAGATATGTGACCAGCTGCATGTTCTCCCTTGCTTTCTGTTTACAGGAATGTCCCCTCCTGGGTCACAGCACTGGTAAGCAAAGCAGTGACCAAACGAGCAGTGACCTGCTGGTGACATGCGAGGTTTCGCCAGGATGGTGATAACTTCTTCCAAGGGAACTCTAAACAAGAAGTGACTCAGTGAGATGGGAGGGGGGAGCTATCTCCCACAGCAGCGTTTTGCAATGCTTCCAGCACCCCATGTCAGCTCTTCGTTACAACATTCCAGGGCCAGGTATGTGCTTGTGTGGGACAAATCAGCGTTCCCGTGACACTAGCCTCCTAGGGAGTGGTGGGGGAGGCACACAGGAGACAGCCCTGGGAATATAGGGACGATTGTGCCTATACAGAGCACAAGGAAGGGCAGAGGCAGTAGGTGTAGCTCCTCTCTGCTCAGTTGTGATTTTCTCCCTGGAGAGGGAGTTTCTGGAGTGCTTTCTCTGCTCAGCAACACAGTCAAGGATGGATGCTGGATCAGCTGTGGTGCTCCTTACCCTCCTCGTCTTCTCCATCTTGTGGTTCCTGCTCTGGAGAAGTGATTGGAAGAGAAGTTCTCTGCCTCCTGGACCAGCCCCGTGGCCCATTCTGGGCAACCTGTGGCAAAAGGATGTCCTGCCCCTCTACAAGACCTATGAGAAGGTAAGAGAGGAGCTGGTGCTGCTGGACCTGCTCCCAGCCCTGGCAGGAGAGAAAGAGTGACTGTCCCATATCAAAATAAAAGGGCAATCATGCAGTTCACTCTTTTCTTAACTTTCTTTTGTCTTTTCCCCCCCTTCTTTCTGCTTTGCCAAAATTCCCTAAATCCCTGCTACTGAGGGTATAATCAATGCTATTATTGAAGTCTTCCTCCTTCCATTAGGGATCAATCCACGGCAGTGACACCAGTGTCTCTTTGGGCTGCAGCCCTGTTGCCATCTACAGTTGCTTCCTGAAAATGATGCTTCGAATCCCCAAAGGATCACTCGGATCAGAAACCCCCAGGGACAGGGCTGGGATGGGAGCAGAGCAAAGACGTGCTTCCCCTCCCTATTCATGCATTTACTACTGTTGTGGTCACAAGACCTACTTTGCAACTACACGGATGCCTGGGGGACGGAACACTCCTTCACCACAGCTCTCCTGTCCTCCCCCAGCTCAGCAGCATCTACGGCCCCATCTTCACAGTCCGGCTAGGGATGAAGCCAGTGGTGGTGCTCTGTGGGTATGACGTGGTGAAGGATGCTCTGCTGGGCCACTCCGAGGAGTTTGGGGGAAGACCTGCGATACCCATACTGCTGCAGCTATCCAAAGACTATGGTAGGTGTCTGGATTTCTCCTAGACACTATTGACCTCTGGGTGAGCAGAAAGTCCCTGTCTACAGCTGTTGATACTTGAGTCTAGTGAAGGACTCAATATCCAAGACCTCAAACACTTATTTCCCTCTCTGCAAGTCCCTTCAACTATTAAGCCTCTTGTCCAAGAACAGAATTAATTCCAGTGTTGTTCCGTGTTTCTATAGAGATCCTCAGCCTTCCAAGGACACTGCACACACCAAGGGTCATCCCCTGGCTTATTGCTCTATTGCTCCTCAGCTGTGCTCGGAACAAAGTTCCCCGTTCCTGGGGAGGAGCAGTGGGGCAGGTGGTGAGTGGTCTCCATTGCCTCCCTCCAGGTTTTGTGTCCAACAATGAGAAGAAGTGGCGGGAGCTGCGGAGGTTCACGCTTAGCACCCTGCGGAACTTCGGGATGGGAAAGAGCTCCATGTCACAGCGAGTGCAGCACGAGGCCCAGCACCTGGTGGAACTGCTGGAAAAACACGAAGGTGATGGTGGGTCCTGTCCACCCGCCCCACACGACAGACTCATGGGACATGTGTGGTCCCCAGCGCTGTTTGCAATGGCTGGGGCAGATGATCAATGTAGAGAAAGGGCTTAGCACTAGCCCCATCCCACCGAGAGCTGCAGGGATATGGTATGGTCACTGAGGGACATTTCATGCCAAAAGAACAGAAATAGGAAGCTAAACTATGTGGCATTGAGAATGCACAAATAAGATACTTCCCTGGCAATGTGGGGGTTATTGGGGTGATGTCCTCCTCGCCAACAACACTGAGCTGCTGCCACTGCTGCCACCTTTTTTGGGGCTTCCTGAATGTAAGAGGAGATAGAAGCTCAGTCATACACGGGTTCCTCTGCCTCTGAAAGGGTGGTGCTGGCAAGGGGATGGTTGCCACAGGGGGATGCTCTGCAGTCCCCCACATCCCCAGGGCATGACGGCAGGAGCACAGAGTCCCTGGAGAGGCCTCTGCTTTCCTCACTCCCAAGTACTGGGGAGGGGTTTAGGAGGAGGGAGAGAAATGTAGGAGCCCACAGCTCAGGAGGGCTCCTTGCTTTGGCTGTTAGACCCAGCAGATTCAACCAGGGCTCAGAGTTCAGAGGACAGAGGCTCAGAGAGGGAGGAAGCACATAAATAACTATTGACTTTTGGTTGCCTTTATTGCCACTCCTGTGGCTGCAGGAAATGCCTTTGAGCCAATAATAATGTTCAGACATGCATTTGCCAATGTGATCTGCTCCGTTGTCTTCGGGAGCCACTACAGCTACGACGACCCAGCCTTCCTGGAGCTACTGAGTGTGATTGGGAATTACATTGACTTCTTCCTCTCCCCCATTGCCATGGTAAGCATCATTGCTGTGCTCAGCACTCCCATGTCCAGCATGCTCAGGTGGTTGAGGGATGCTCCTTGGCTTTGGGTCGCTCCTTGGCTTTGATGGGACAGCATGCCTTTGAGCTCTCCTGTGCCTTCTCCACCTGCAGATCTACAACACCTTCCCCAACATCATGCACCACCTCCCGGGGCCACATCGGAAAGTCCTGGCTGAGTGCAAGAAGCTGATAGACTATATCCAAGAAAGGGTCGAGCTTCACAAGCTGACGCTGGATCCCAGCTGCCCCCGGGACTACATCGACTGTTTCCTTATGAAAGCAGAGAAGGTAGAGGTGGTGCAAAGGGGGTGAGGGCTGCAGCCTGGAAAATCACCCAGGTGATACTGAATCCCCACCACATCCTTGCAGGAGAAGAGCAGTGCAGAGAACATGTACAGCAACGAAGACTTGGTCATGTCAATATTCAACCTCTTTGGTGCCGGGACAGTGACTACGAGCAACACCCTGGTCTTCTTCCTCTTGGTCCTGGCAAAGCACCACCATATTCAAGGTAAGGGTAGCACCATGTGACTGCTTCCTGTGCTGAGGAGGTCATGATGCAGCCTACAGGAGATGCTTTGAAGCTCCCTGATTTGGGCAGATATGCAGACAGAGACCCTATTTCTGATCTCTACTAGGGGTTTGGCTCGCTCCCTCTCTTCTAGATCATCTTTAGCTCTAGAACAGATGTCCATGGAGGCCCATAAAAGATGTGGGGCGCGGTTTGCACAGCAGCTCCATGCATGCCTTTTCCCCAGCTAAGGTCCAAGAGGAGATCGACATGGTGGTGGGTGCTGGCCATGCTCCCAGCATAGAGGACAAGCTGAGGATGCCGTACACCAACGCTGTGATCCATGAGCTGCAGCGCTTCCAGAAGAGCCGCACAGAGAACTTCCCACGGATGACAACACAGGATGTCCTGTTCAGGGGCTACACCATCCCTAAGGTAGATGTTGTGGCCCTGGAGTCTCTGTGTCCTCAAGGTGGCAGGAGGGCTTGAATGAGGTTTACCTTTGCCCCTGGACTGTTTCCTCACTCCTGAAGGTCCTGGGTCTTTCCCAGTCCTCCCTGGGCAGAGATGGTGATAACTTTTTAGCAGATAAGTAGAAGGAGGTGAATGCTGCTGCCAGTTCTGCCCACATCCCTGTGTCAGGGTGTACATCCCTTGTGACCCCAGGTGCTCCTCATTGCTAATCTACCACAGCAGAGCCCTATGTCAAAGCACTGATGTCTCTCCCATCCCTCTCCCGCAGGGCACAGCCATTATTCCTGTATTTAATTCTGTACATACGGATCCAAGCCAGTGGGAGAACCCCAAAGAACTTGACCCAGGCCACTTCTTGGATGAGAAAGGCGAGTTCAGGAAGCGTGAAGCTTTCATGGCTTTCTCAGCAGGTCAGTGCTCAGCCCCACACATCGCTTTTTTTGGCACCCTGCCTGCAGCAGCTCCAACATGAATATTGGTTGGCACCAGATATACCCTTAATATAAGCTTTCTCACTATCCTTTTATGACCTTTTCTCCCCAAATGTTGGATAAGCCTGGTACTCACCCTCCCCTTTCTGTGCCCCAGGGAAGCGGATGTGCCCAGGAGAGGCACTGGCTCGCATGGAGCTCTTCCTTTTCCTCACCACGCTGCTGCAGAGCTTCACCTTCCAGCTTGCCATCGAGCATGAGGAGACAGATTTCTTTTCCCTGTGGCTCAAGATAGAGAGAAGGGCAATACCGGGCAGCTTCTTTGCTATTCGGCGCCTGGTCTCCTCTTAAGCAGAGAGAAAGGATCTTCCAGATGCCTTCACTTCTGATATCAGAGCAAGCCGTGCAACCCTGAATGTCATGAGCAGAAGGGTCACTCTGAGTCTGAGCTTCTCCTCAGAGAACTCCTCAGCATCTCCACCAACAGCTCCATGGGCAACCTGCTCCCAAGCATATAGCAGTAACACAAGGAAGACAAGCACTTGTTTTCCTCCTCTCGTACCTATCAGCTCTGACTGAGCTCCAGCTCCTGTGGCAGGGCTGCCTGTAGCTCCTGGGCTGGAGCTGGGCGCTCCTTCATTGTGGTGAGAGATTCAGAGTGCTTCTGCAATAAAAACAACCACCATAACTCGATGCTGGTATTTGTAAGTACACTTGTGCCTCTTGGTATAAGGGCAGCGATGCTCGGTCCTCTCTGCCCTGCACAGATGGTGTGTGAGCCCCACAAACCATGGTGACAAGCACCTCATGCTTCTGCTTCCCTGCTTTGCCCCCTCTCTGTACTCTCTAGCATTACAGAAGGTCTGCAAAACTGCCTCCATCCCCACATCCCACTGCACAGGATGAAACCCTTGTGAACAACCTTTAGGCCATCAAAATGTTAATGAAAAATGTGTGTGGGGAAATGTGCTATAGGAGAGGGGTGCTGTGCTTGGGAAGCAGGAATTAGTTTGCCACCAAAGCCACTGCTTCCTTCTTAGGGTGCTCAGTGTGTTTTCTGTGCTTGCACTGATTTAACTACCTTTACTTGTTAGTCCATACACACTGCAGCCTTTATTCCAAACATTGGGACTTGAAAGAAAAGGGATTTTCTTTAAATACCTGTACAAGGGAAAAATGATCCCTACTTGCCCACCTTGTCTGGCCTCAGCACTGGCCTTGGAAAACCACTGTTTCCTGTTGCATCCAGCTCTTCCCAGTGCAAACCTCCCAGCTATCGGACTTTGACTTTATGTCTGTTCCTAGGGTTTCCTCATCTTTCCCAGGACAGATGGAGCTGGGCAAACATTCTGTTTGTTTTAGCTGCTTTGCCTCCACAGTTTTAATCTTTAAATGAATCTAACACATCTCAGGAATTTATGTGATGCTGGGAAGAGCTCCCCAGGCAAGTAGCACTGCCTACACTGAGGACAGGCAGAACCACCTGAGTTCTACCAGCAGCAGAATGATTCCAGCTGGAGAAGGAGCACAGGTTTCCAATAACAGGGCTGAGCTGCAGCTCAAAGTGCTGTAGCTCAGGAGTGTTATGTGGGAGAGTAGAAGGGATAGGGAAAACTATTCAGCTTGCTGTTGTGGCTACGTCCTCCTGGAGATAGGTGAGATTGGGGGTGTTGGGGGCGCCTCTCTTGGGACAGCAGTTTCTCCGTGGTGGATGCTGCCATAGCCAAATGGACAAGTAAAGATTATTTCCTAGATACCACTGTGAGAGGAACATCCCTGTGCCTCAGGAGTGAAATGCATCTCTGGGAGGGGTTGCGGCCTCTGTAGAAGGGATCTCTAAGCTTTAATTGAATTAAGTAAGCAAGCACATAGAGTTGCAGCCTATTGGCTGGGCTTGGAACTGGTGAAAAGTAGTAGGATTTGCTGTAAGTAGCTCTTTGTGGCAGGAAAACAACCCTGCAGTGGAGAAGAATGGCTGAGGCTGGAATCCTGCTTTCCTCTGCTCGCTTTGCCAAAGAGTCACATTAAAATCCCATGTGGGGATGTGTGCAGGATGGCAGCTTGCGTGCCTGAGCCCAGAAGGCTGCCAGCTTCATATGGCCTGTTTATTTTGCATGCATCAGACTTTAAACCACTGCACTGGAGTCCTGAAGTCTCTGCAGGGCAGGGAGCATCAAGTTCACATCCAGTGCTGTCTTTTCCACTTCTGCCTGCAACAAGTGAAAGAGCCAAGTGAGCACAGTGAGGACCCCACTATGCACAGAGCAGGGCCCGGATATGTGACCCTCTCTGCAAGGGGGTATGAGCTTATTGCTGCCTGTTCTGCTGCCTTCCCTCCTGGGCTGTTCTGCAATGCTCTTTCTTATCAAAAGCTTTTTCTTCATTATGTCCTAGTAAATCCTCCTCCCTTCTCCCAGATGATGGCTGGACGAGCTTTTACTCTCACTCCACATGCTTTTTTGACTCATTAGATGACTAAACGAGGTGTGCTTTGGATTTATTTGCTTGTGGCTTTTTGAGCGGGGTTTTGTTTGGTTTCATTTTCGATCTGGGGAAACCTGGGACTCGGGAGCGAAGTTTAAAAGCTAAATACGTTTGACCGAAGCGAGCTGCTCGGGAGGAGATGGGGCAAAGACGCTTCACAAACGCTTGGGCGCGGCTCTTCGCAGCAATACGGCGGCGCGGCCGGCGGTTTACGGTACCGGTGTCTCCTAGCAGCCGCGACGCGCAGGGCACGGGGGG